GTATTTTATTGGTTAGTGGAAGTATGTAAAGGATTTTGACATTTTTGTCCTTTAACTTTATGTACAAAGTAATCGTATGTGTAACGATATATTTGTAGTTAAAATAAAAATTAAAGAGTATTTTAGTACTACTGAATAATTACTTTGTTTCAAATAAAAATAATAATATTTTTAAATGGAATAGATTTAAAAAAAAAAAAAAAAAAGGTAAAAAAGTACTTTTAATTTGGACTGAGGAAATATAATTTTATTTGAAACGATGCAAATTGATCAATAGTAAAAAATAATTTTCAAACTTTAGATTGTGTTCTTTTGTCAATTTTTCCACATATTTTTCCTATTAAATTTTTTATTTTTTATTTTCAAAAATATCAAATTAAACAATTACTTTTTTTTTTATATAATACTATATATATTTATTAATATTTATTTATATCATATCAAATTACTATTTAAATACAAATTTTTATTATTCAAAAATTCACACTCACCAACGAACACATCCTTTCAATCAACTTTTAAAATTTCAAAACTCTTATCAAGATGGAGAGTATGGAAATGTTGTTAGAAAATTGCATATGGCTTGTCGATATTTGTGCGTGTGGGTGTAATTTTTTCTTCTTTTTTTTGTCTACTCATAAATCTAATGTCATTTAAACTACACTCTTTTACTAAATTATTGATTAACATTTTGTAATCCTTTTTTTTTTTCAGAATCTACATGTGTGTTTTTATTTTTATAGGTATGTTTCGTATTTTCGGATTTGTTTCATATCGCCAGTCAGATTTATTCAAATTATCGAGTGATTTGAAACAAATTTAAGTTAATCTGAATCTAACTCGAGAAAATTTTGTGTTATGTTCGGATTTGATGTTTCGGATCATGATTGAATATGTAATGATAAAAATATTATGTAGTCTTAAGCAATGATACTTTCGGTTTGGTTTACTTATGTTACCAAAACTATTTTCTTATAAATTATATATATAAAAAATACTTTAAAATATATTATACTCATATCTTAATAGTTTCACTTGTAATTTAAATTTTCACCTAAATAGCAATATTTTATTTAGTTTTCATTCAATTATCATTTTATTCTTATATTATTTCTATATAATGAAATTATTGTTGGATCCAAAAAGTACAAATGTAGAAAAAAAAAATGATGGAATCCAATCCGATTCGAAAATGATTCAGTCAAAAAAGATGATAATCGGGCCATAGGAGGTATAAGTGAGTTGTGTAAACGGAAAACTCAAAACTGATGATTTCAAAAGGATAGAAATAAAAGGGCATTAAAGCACAAGATTGCAAAAATGATAATTAAGATGTGAAAAATGAAATAAGGTGAAAAAAGCAAATAAGACACCGAAAATGACCGTTATGATAGTTACTTGGACAGGTTAATCAGAATATGGGTAGGTTTACGAGAATAAGAGCAAATTTATGAAGAACCATTAATAAACGATGCCTTTGTTGGCCTTAACGAGGGAGATTTACGATGAAAATTGATGATGATGAAGGTTAATAAGGCGTTAAAGAAACTTTATAATGAAACATTAAAAAAGCAAGTTACATGAGCCTTGATGGAAGATAAAGTGTAATATCCTGGAGTTCGATCGGGATTAGGTCAACTCTTGTGTATAGATGAATCGATCATAAATCATTCAAAATTACATACAAGATTAAGTAGATGGAATAGACTATCAATGTCAATAATGTGTGTGTATATAAATATATACATTTATTATTCATTTATATATATACTCATTTTTCATTATGGGTGGTGACCCGTCAAATTTATTTACTTTTAATGGCAGGTGATGTGTTTCTTTAACTAATTTTATCTTTTTTTTAAAAAAAAAATTATTTAAGTTTTGTATTTTTCAAAAATATTTACATTTATTAACATAAAATATCTTATCAAATGCTATTATTCAAATTCAAATTTTAAATTAAATCTTCCCAAATTAAACTCAAAGAAACAGAGTTTGTTTTGTTTTGATTTGAAGTTGTATTTTTTATTTGAATTTTGATTTAAACAATATTTGAATGTAATCTTTTATAAAAAAAATTACTAATATATATATATATATATATTTTAAAATCGTATAAATTAAATAATATTGATTTGTGTTTGAAACACAAACAAAACCCATTACAAGTTTGATTTCTATAAATTTTATATATTAAGGTTTCTTGTCTGAAAATTAAGTGATAAATAATAATTTCTTTGTCTGGCTCTAAAGGTTACATTTAATTTTTACATCATTATAATTAATATTAAAAATATTTTTTATATTTGTATAATTTTTTTACACAAATGTCGTTGTAATAGTATCATAAGACACTAATAGAAGTATTTTTGTCATTTTTTCGTAATTTATACTACGATTTCATATACTAATTAATATTCAAATATCACAAAAAGTAAACGAGAGCTTTAGAGCCGGATAAAAATAGTAATAATAACAATTATTATTAGTAAATAAAAAAAAATTATATAATGGAATTACATTAATTTTTCATGCTATAGGCAACCAACCGTTCGAGAGATAAGGCATGGAGCGTAGGAGCCACACGATAGTCCGGTGCGACGAGCAACTCGTGACACCAATATCGATCATACACTAAAAGATAAAAAAGACAAAATAATAATAATAATAATAATAATAATAATTAAAAATAAAAATGCACAATGCATCTTCTCAGAAACTACAGAAGGCCTCTCTGGTTTTTTGACAAAGACTTGCCTTGTACTTTACCTAAACAATCCAAGACTGTGTTTGAACATATATATTTTTGTTTGATGTTTTAGATTAAAAGAAAATTAAATATTATACTCCCTCCGTCCACAAAATAAGTATATATTTACTTTTGGCGCGAAGATTAAAGAACAGTAGTATTTTAATTATAGTGGATAGGTAAAAGTAGTGAAATGACATTTTTGCCTTTACTTTTTTGGTATAAAAGTAATGATGTGATATAAAGTAGGAGTATTTGTGAAAAAAATGGGGTATTTAATGAAATAGTTACTTTGTAATTGGACGTCCTAAAATAGAAACATGTATACTTTCTAGCTGGACGGAGGGAATATATATTTAATGCAATAATTTTCTTACAAAAAAGAATTGTATTGTACTCCCTCCGCCGCGACTGACTCTTTTTTCTTTTTGTTTCGTCCATTAAAGATGATTAAGTTTTATTTTTAATAAATTTATTAATCTTATAATAAATATAAATCGTTTTAATTAAATTTCTAACCTCTTACGAGTAGCACCCACTCAAAATTCCTTTATTTTTATCTATCTCCTCAATAAATAAATATTTTTATCTACATTTAAAACTTCTTATTTTTAATAAAATTAGTTTTAAGTTAATTATAAATAAATAAATAAATTTGTATTATATAAAATTTTATTCTCTATAAAATGATATTCATATTATATATATTTTATTAATTTATAATGCTAAAAATATTTAAAATACCAACAATACTACTCATATAAAAATATAAAATAATATTATAACTTATTATTAATAACTTACTAATTTACAATATCTAAAATATTGTGTCTAAGTAAAGAGGTCATCTTGACCGAGACGGAAGGAGTATTATAAATTATAATTGTTATTATAATACTCCCTCCGTCCCACATAATTTGTCCTTATTTCTATTTTTGTCCGTCCCACATAACTTGTTCTTTCTATTTTTGGAAATATAATTATGCACTCTAATCGCATTTTAAATTTTAAATTTTATAATTTTCTTAATTTTAATTAAACTATTTACTTATCTTAATCTATAATTATTTTTACGAAATAATAATTATTTTTACTAATATATTTTTTAATTACTTATTAATTATATTTTACCTAAATTTTCGTGTCTACGGTAATACACCGATATTACATGAAACGGAGGGAGTATAAAATATTATAATTAAATTGAAGCAAAAAGTGTAAGGTATTGTACGAGCACGTTAATGGGTAGTTGTCAAGTGGACACCAATCATGGTGATAGACGATAAGCATTCATACTCCCTACCTACATTGACTATTATTATTATTATTATTATTTATTAATTATTATTTCTTTATTTTTTAATTATTAATATCATATTATATATTTCTTCACTAAGGTTAGCCTCTGAAAGGGTCTTTATTATACATCACATGATAATGGGAGTTTGCTTATTTAATCTTCAAATTTCATTGTGTTATTAAAATTGTATATTTTTCTTATTTTTAATTGGGGAGAGACTTAAGGTTTCATTTATTAGATATAAATTTTTAGGAACTTGTGAAATTTGAAAAAAATAAAAAAGAATGATGATTTGTGAATGAAAATGTGTAGTGAAATTTAATGTATATTTTTCCAAGAATAAATAATAATTGATTATTTAAATGGAGCATAATTAACAAGTCACATTCAAGAGGATTTGAATATTTATACAATATTGCTTCCAAATGCAATGACCTACCTATGTATATGGAGACATGATTATTATGAATGATGGAAAAGTCAGAAACTGTGAGAGAGAACGACAAAGAGCAAGAAGAGAAGCTTCCTTCATTTATGGTTTCCAAATGGACTCTCATCTCAACCCACCAACAAATTTTGACTAACAAAAGTCGTAAAGCACCTTTTTTATTTTATTATTATTATTATTATTTTATGTCGTATTATTTTTTTCGAGAGTGTGCAGAGTAAATTTCAGCCGAACTTAATACTTTACAAATTAAATTCGACAGGCAAGTCACTGGGATGTCAACCTGGCGGGTTCAAGACGAGTTTTGCAAGCCTCGAGACCCGCCCCGCTTTAATCCGACCTCAGGACCTGTCACGTACCGAACCTTCTAACCAGGCAAATTCTATTTTTTTTAGAAAAAATAATAAAAAAATTATAATTCTAAAAATAAGAACAGTCAATAGTCCGGCAATTAGTCCCGGTTATAAATAGAATTTTAGAAAAAAATAATAATTCTTTCGGAATTCAGTGAGGGCTAAAACTTATAATTCAAGACGAACTATAAGCAAAGTGACATGAGACAAATGGGGATTTGAACCGACATTTTTCGACACACACAAATTCACAATCAATCCAAGCCGTCGGATTCCTGCCATCAATCATACCCCATTGATCTCATTTCATTTCATTACATTTGATTTCCCCTTCATTACTGTACTGGTAAACCAAAACGTAAAAGAAATATGCACAAAAACCTTATCAAGCATAAACTACTGATTCAGCAAAAATAGCAAATAAAAATAATAATAATAATAATCAATAATAATCATATTAAAAATGGTTTATTGTGACTAAACGTTAGGACTGGGCTCCACCTTCCTCATCTGGATTCCCTGCCGGTTCGAGTCGTCGTCCTCGTACACGTAAGCGAACCCGCCGTGCCGGGTCAGATCCATTCCGGCGAGCTCGTCGTCCTCCGATATGCGGAGGAGCTTCATTTTATTCAGGATGTAGAACAATGGACCCATCGTGGCACTCACCCACCCCGTGATCACCAAAATCTGGATCACGTGCGCCGCCAGCAGCCGCCCGCCGCCGCCCATGAACAGCCCGTACGGACGGCCGGGCTTGCCGGGATACACCTCGTTCACGTACTTCTCCGTCGCGAATAGGGCGGTGAAGATCACGCCCCACGCGCCGCAGCCGCCGTGGAGTTGCGCGGCCTCCAGCGGGTCGTCGAATCTCATCTTCTCCGCGAGGCGGTTGCAGCCGATGAGGACGACCGCCGCCACGAAGCCGCAGATCACGGCGGCCCAGGGCTCCACGACGGAGCAGCCGGCGGTGATGGCGGCGAAGCCGCCGAGCAACCCGTTGCAGACGTCGGTGACGTTCCAGTGGCCGGAGAGGATCCGTTTCCCGAAGAGCGTCGTCAGCGCCGCCGTGCAACCGGCCAGCGTCGTCGTCACCGCCGTCCGGCCCACGGCGGACCACTGGCCGTAGTAATTTCCGCCATTGGCGTACGGATTTAAGATTTTGTTGAAGGAGCCTGGATTGAATCCGTACCATCCAAACCATAAAAGAAAAGTTCCTAAAACGACGAGGGAAGCGCTGTGGCCGCGGAGGGCAACGGCTCGACCGGTGTGGTCGAACCGGCCGATTCTAGGACCTTCGATTAGGGCTCCGTACAGTCCGGCGAGGCCTCCGACCATATGGACGACGCCGGAGCCGGCGAAATCGATGACGCCGGAGCCGAAGAGGAGGTTGTCGGTGTTGAAGGCGCTTGCCCAGCCGTCGCCGGACCAGAACCAGTGGGAGACGACGGGGTAGACGAATCCAGTGAGGAAGGAGGAGTAAATCAAATACGCCACAAATTGCGTCCTCTCGGCGATGGATCCGCTGGTAATTCCGGCGGCGGCGATGGCGAAGGCCCACTGGTAGAGGAAATTGCTGTAGTCGTAGTCGGAAGTCGGGACGTCTTTCAAGCCGAAGAAGTGGCGCCCGATGAAGCCGTTGGACGGCGCGCCGAAGGCGAAGGCGAAGCCGAAAAGGTAGTAGAAGAGGCCGCCGGCGGCGGCGTCGAGGACATTGGTGAGCATGATGTTCATGGTGTTCTTAGCCCTGACGGAGCCGGCGCAGAGCATGGCGAAGCCGAGCTGCATAGAGAAGACCAGATAGGCCGAGAAGAGTAGGTAGGTGGTGTCCACGGCGAAGGTTGTGTCGACAAATCGATCCGACACGACGGAGAATTGTCCGCAGATGTAATTCGCGGCGGCGACGGCGTCGGTGGCGTTTGGGCCGAAGAGCGGCGCAAGCTGCTCGGCGGAGCAGCTGATGGCATCCATGGCTGGCGACGGAGATAAGAAGTTAAAACAGAGAATTGTAGGGTAGGGTACAGCAGATAAGAAGACTCTCTGTTTCCAAATATATAGAGAAAATTTACTTAAAACCAAATCTGACTTTTCTCCGCTGATTCAAAATTTCAAATTTCTAAACGTGGGGTAAATTAAAGGGTAAAATAGTCATACCATAATTAATTAATTAATTAATTAATTTACACGAGTGGCTTTCCTTTTTATCAAGATAGCAATTAGTATTATCCATTGCATATTGATCACTTTTTAAATTTACCGATTTAATCTATCATTAATTCTTGATTTATTTTTCAATAAATATATGATCTTGTAAATCAGGGTCACGCAATATATATTTTTTTCCTATAGGAAGTGCGTGGGGTAACAGAAATTAGGATTTGGAAAGAGAGTTATAACAAACAATTTGATCCATTTTTGTAATTTTAACATTTCGGATTTGTTTCCATGCTTTTACTTATATTTTTTAATTTTTTAAACTTTGTTAATGGAGATAATATAATACTTCCTCCGTTCCAATACAATAGTCTTATTTCCATAAATAATCATATCACTGTAAAAGTATCTTTATTTTTTCATTATTATTACGTAATTGACACTAATTTTTTATATTAAGGATGTGTTTGTTTTGGGGTTTGGATTTTGAGTTGAGATTTGAATAATAGAATATTTGAATTTGAATAGTTGTATGATGTAATATAAATAGGTGTTGATGTGATGTTTTGAATTTAAAATTAATTTTTAGTATAATATAAAAAATAAAAAATAGGTGTTTGATTTAATGTTTTTGAGAGGAAAAATTTGGATGAATAGTGGAAGTTTGGGAAAGTCTCCCAAACAAACACACCCTTAATACACTCAAAAGGCAAAGAGATCTTTAACCCATACTTTTTGTCCACTGTCAATATAATATCAATATTCCTTAAATCTCGTGTCCAACACAACCAATACTATAATTACCAATACTATAATTATGAGATGGAGGGAGTATATTTTTTTTTATCTCACATAAATTTACATATTTTTATATTATTTTTCTTTGTTACACTTTAATTTTTATATCTGAGAACGGGTAAAAACAGATATAATTCAAAAATTCTATCCGATTAAAAAAACAAAAAAAGATATCGTATTTGAATAAAAAAAATAATAAGTTCGAAAAAAAATTAGGTCATTCGTAACCCTAACTCGGAACAAGTATAAACCGGGCGTGCCTAGCCCACTCAATTTTTAAATTGAATATAATTTCAAAATATACATTTTATAAATATATTAAAAAATAATTTTATATAAAAATGAAAGTGCAGTTTCATGGGTAAGTTATTGTCACTGTTAGATTATTGGCTCAAATATTGGGGGTTGTTTTAATGCAATTGCGATAACTTCAAATTAATTACTACCTCCATTATAAAAAAAAAAAAAAAAAAGACAATATTTATTTTTTTGTGTTATTTTACTTAATGTTGAAAATATCATTATAGTTGTATAATTTATTTCACAATGTAATTGTATTTGTATTATAAGAAACTAATAGATATATTTTTGTTATTTCCTTTTGATTTGGACTACGGATTGATATAATAATTAATATTCAAATATCAACATGCAAAAAACTCATGATACTCTTCTTATCGGACGGAGGTAGTATAAAATTAACTTTAAGAAAAATAAAAATCTACAGGCGTGTTTCTTTTGATGGATTTAGGAACATTTGAATTTAAAAATTTGATATTAAAATAATATATGATAAGATATTTTATGAAAATATATATATATATTTCGAAAAATACATAGTCAAATTAGTAGAAACCTGATATTTTTGGTAAAAATAACTAACCAAATGATAAAAATAAAAATAAAAATCAACATGTGTTATACACGTAGCACCCACGAAGGTGCTACATATTAAATATGTATGCTTTTTCTTACCTTCTTGTTGAGGTTATCTGCCTATATATATATATGTCTGTTAATCAAAGGAAATAAACATACTCATTTTTGCTCTCACCCTGCTCCATATCATTATTACTATTATATCATTATATACATATACACTAACGCACACACCCAAGATAATATATATATGCATACATACATTATCTAATATATATTATATTTACATACTGCATACACACTTATATCTATTTACATATATTTATATACACAATATATATAATATTATACAATATATAAAATAGTGGTTAGCGATAGAAATAATTAATATTTCTATTAGCTAATCCTATAATAATATTACAACACGTTATCAGCACGACTATATATTTTATTTTTTGCAAGGTAATATTTTATATTTTATCTGTTTATTATGTCTAACCTTGCTAAATAGAAATTTCTCCCTCTCCTCGTTTCTGGCCAAAATTATATGGTATGGGCTCGCGATGTTAAAATGCATCTGACATCAATGGGCTTGGAAAATACCATTGCTCGTGATAAAAACTCCCCGAGCCAAGATCGTGCAAAGCCCATGATCTTTTTGTGCCATCACATCGATGAAACACTGAAAATGCAGTATGTCACGCTGGAATCCCCACTTGAATTGTGGGAGAGATTGAAAGAAAAATATGATCATTTGAGGCTGACATTGTTGCAAGGGCACGAAGCGAATGGCAAAGTCTACGGCTTCAGGAATTTAAAACAATCCAAGAATATAATTCTGCCATGTTTAAAATAACATCACAACTGTGCCACTGTGGCGAAAATATATCTGAATCTGATATGATGGAGAAAACTTTCTCTACTTTCCATGCCTAACATGGTTTTGCAGCAGCAGTATCGCGAAAGAGGCTTCGAGAAATATTATGAGCTGATCACCTGTCTTTTGCTGGCCAAACAAAATAATGAATTACTGTTGAAAAATCACGAATCTCGGCCGACAGGTGCAAATCCATTTCCAGAGGCAAATGCAATAGAACCAGCAAATCCGGTGCGTGGCCGTGGGCAAATCAAAAATCAAAGAATTGATCACGATCAAAATCAGAATCGCGGACGGGGCTGGACAAACACATACAGTCACAATAATTATCAAAACAGGCCCCGATATGTGTCAAATCGGCGTTATAATGACAGAAGGCCATACATACCTCAACAGAGGTTCAACACGAGGAGAAATAGAAACAATGACGAGGAATGCACCCGGTGTGGAATCAAAGGACATTAGACCCATGTTTGTCGCACAACCAGTCACTTGGCTGAACTATATCGGGCCTCAAAAGAAAGGTAGGAAAGAGTTGCTGCCGAAACAAACAATGCTGCCCACGATGACATATTTGACGATGTGATGAATGAAAATATCACGCACTTGGATGCCGATGATCTGCTTGACATAGCTGATGATGTTAAATGATAAAATATTGTTGTATCTCTTTTGTTATTTTGATATTTTCTGCCCCCTTTTTTGTATTACCCTTATAATATAAGTCTATTTTAATTATGTTACTAATATATGTCTTTTATTATTTTTTACCTTCTTGGAAAGATATGGATTCCAAATATTTTGGAGCCGATGACAATATCTGCCTTATCGATAGTGCTACGATTCACAACATTCTGAAAAATAAATGTTATTTCTCCCACCTGAATATGGGAAAGACCATTATTATTACTATCAGTGGTGCATAAAAAATGATTGAAGACTCAGGAAAAGCTACTGTATTTCTCCCAAAATGGACAAAAATGACAATTGAAAATGCCTTGTTCTCGAGCAAAGCTCGAAGGAATTGACTGAGCTTCAGTGATATTCGAAAAAATGGGTATCACATTGAAACATTAAATGAGGCAGAAAATGAGTATCTTCTGATTACTCAGATTGTGAATGGCAAAAGAATTGTGAAAGAAAAATTGCCATCATTTTCTTCCGGCTTATATTACTAAAAAATCAGTGCCATTGAAACATATCACCTAGTAGACCAGATGGCTACTAGCGAATTTAAAACTTGGCACGATCGACTTGGGCATCCTGACAATGTAATGCTGAGGCGAATTGTTGAAAATCCAAATGACCACTCATTGAAAAAGAAAAATATTTTGAGTCCGAATGAATTCGTTTGAAATGGTAAGCATAAAACTTTCCATGATAGCTAAAAATGAGAACAAACCTATTAAAATTTTACAAGCTACAAGATCACATAAAACAACATTTAAAGTGTTCATAATAACTAAAAATGAGAAGACACTAAAAAATGTTTTATGAAAAATACATAAACTTAAAATTGAAAGGCATCAATATAAAATTCACTCATATACAATAAAAGAATAACACAAATTAGAGGAATTAAAACACCAACTTGCATGTCATAATTCCAAACCAATTAACAACCAAACAATCTGTCAAATAACACCCTATGATTGCTCAAGAGAAATGACAGGGCATCAACAAAATGAAGACAAGTAAATATATATACTTTCAAAATGAAGACAAGTAAATATATATATAATTCTATTATATTTCTTATTTTCTCTCATAATATAATTTTGGTTGGGATCCGAAGACATAGGCATAATTTTGCCGAATCTCGTTAAATTTGGTGTTCTTTATTTTGCTATGGTGTTTTGATTTTTATATATGTGGTTATTTATTGTGCTTTAATTTTGCAGAAAAAATTATGTCAAAAAGACTATAAAAAGTCTAAAGAGATTGAGTTATAAATGAACCTTGTGTCTCCTTCAATTACCTAGAATTTTTCTTCGCTATTAATTGGGTACGATATTTTGGAGTTTTGTGTGAGACTAATCCGTTTTTCACAATATCAAAATTTGAATAATTTATAGTATAATACATTATTGCATATTTCTATCATATAAAATTAATTAACAAAAAAAGTCAAAACATTTGGGTATATTATTTTAGTATTTTATTTTGTATGTTTTGTTATGAGAAAAAGAGAAAGAAAACAAATAAAGAGCACAGAAATTTTACGTGGTTCGGTGATGGTGTGTCAACCTACATCCACGGGCAGGAACCGAAGAGATTTTATTATACTGATTCAGAGATTTACAGTCATGTCATACAACTAGGAACCATAGGTA